TATTGAAAGAGGTATGTTGAATCCTTATTTTTCATGGTTATTTTGTCTAGTTCTGACAATTTTGCTTTATATAATTTGAGTGTAGATTATTAGATGTACATAATTTAGAACTCTTATAGCTCCCTGATGATTTTTTTCTTTTTTCATATTATTTAATGACTTGTTTTATTTGTATTCAAGTTTTGCCCTAAATTTTTTTTGGCTAATTTTAATATAATTACACCAAGTTCTTTTGGTTGGTATTTACTTGGAATATTTTCTCTATACTCTTTCTTTCAAGTGTTCTCTGTCTTTATGTTTTAGGAGTATTTCATGTGAACAATATATGCCTGGCTTTTTAAAAATTGGTCTGATAATCTTTGATTTTTAATTGGTGACTTTAACACATCTGTATTTATTTTGATAATTAGTATATTTAGAATTATTTCTATATTTTATGCTTTCTATTTTGTCCCAATAGTTCTAATTCCTTTTTTTCTTTCTTGTATTTTTTTGGATTAATTTAGCTATTTTCCCCAAAGTCCTTAGTTCTTACTACTTGTTTGAGAAATATTTATTTTCGTTTTTATAGTAGCTCTCTTAAAAATGCTAACATGTAAGTTAACAAATTCTAATACCAAGAATTGTTTCTACCCTTCTCCTGAATAAGACAACAATCCTAGAATGTTTTGAGTCTCCTGAAGACTTAAATATTATTCTTTTTAAGTCTAGCTTTTATTAACTCATATTTTTACCAATTTATTTTCTCATGATTTCTTATTGTGTCACATATCTTCTTTCTTGAATTATTTTTCTTCTTCCTTTGTTACATCCATTATGAATGCCTTTGTGAGCTGTAGTTGGTGGTAAACTCTCTCAGTTTTTGTTAATTTGAAATGTCTTTATTTTCCTTTCATTCTTAAAACATAGATTTTCTATGTTTTTCTATTTTCTATGTCACAATTCCAGGGTGACAGTTCTTTGTTTCAGCACTTGAAGGCGAACTGTTTGATTCAGTCTAAATCTAATTGCAGTTTCTTATATGTACTCTGTCTTCTCTCTCTCTCTCTATTTTCCTTTTCTTTGGTGTTCTATGATTCGACATCATAAGTGTAAATTTCCTGAAGCATATATTAAAGTGACGACTGCGGAAAGAGATGGGAAGTGTCTGATGGTAGCCGAGGGCTGCACAGTGGTACCAACACTGATGGAAGCCAGGAGACATGATAATATCCTAGTTCTGTCACTCACTAGCCATGGAATCTTGAAAAAAATTATTGATCCTATTCAAATGTCCGTAACCTGGCTCATAAAGATGGTACTAATATCTATCTCTTAATTATGTATGACAAACAAATGTGGTAGGAATGTGAAAACATTTTATAAACTGGAGAGTGTGTATACAACAGGAAGATCAAATATCGCACTGCTATTCAGTGACTTAATAAATATAGGAATATAGTGATTTGATGCTTGACACCTTGCTGATGGAAGGTGTCATTTATAATAAATGTTTTAGCCTAGAAAAAAAAATTTTTTTTTAATTCTGCTTTAGGTTCATTATACTTCCTGAAAGTCTTGATTTTTTATTAACATTAAACAGTTCTCAGCAATTGTAGTTTTAATGATTGTGTTTCCTTTATTCTTTTTATTATCTACTCTTGGAATTTGGATTAAATATATGTTACATTTCCCATTCTCATTTGATTTTTCCTAACCTGTCTTTCAGGCTTCCATATCATTGTCTCTCTCTGTGCTGTATTCTAATTAATTTCATGCTTTCTTTTCTTTTCCTTTTTTTTTTTCTAAGACAGAGTCTTGCTCTATCACTGGGGCTAGAATGCAGTGGTGTGATCATAGCTCTCTGCAACCTCCAACTCCTAGGCTCAGGCAATTCTCCTGCCTCAGCTTCCCTAGTAGCTGTGGCTACAGGCATGTACCACCATGCCCAGCTAATTTTTCTATTTTTTAGTAGTGACCACCGGGTCTTGCTCTTGCACAGGCTGATCTCCAAACTCCTGAACTCAAGTGCTCCTCTCTCCTTGGTCTCCAAGAGTGATAGGATTACGGGTGTGAGCCACCACACCTGGCCTCAAGGTTGTTTTAAAATAGAATTTCATATTAAGTCCATCTCCCTCCCTCTGCCCTGTCCCACACACAGGCACACACAATATTGAGACTTTAGGCCCCTAACTTGCATAGTTATGAATTTTCAAGGGAGATTTTTATTCCCTTCACCTAATACATAGGCCAAACATGAAATTTCCTTTGGTGTTTCCCTCTATGGGGTGAGTTTTTATCTAGCTTACACTTCCACTGAAGGTATAGTCTTTTGGGATCTTAACTCCATGTTGATTTCCATTCAGCTTCTAACTTGGGTGGGTTCTAACTTTGTCTCCTCTCTCTTGTTCCCTGAGTACCTATTAAGAGGGACTTTCAGGGGCTCTAGGAATTAGCAGTTACCACCTTAATTTCTTGCTTATATCTCTGGATTTTTGCTTATGCTTTAGCTTTCTCTTTTGAGAACATTCATTATTTTCTTGCAGACACAATGATGTATGTTATTCAATATTTTTTATTATTTGGCCTCAGGAAGATTTTTACCCTCTTGTATCTATACAACAATACTATCAGCAAGGAAAGTCCTTTCATTACCTTTTATAACCCCACGTCTTTTTTCTTTTCTAGACAAATGAAGATTCACATAATTGGGAAAACCTTTTAATTTCTGGCTCAGTTATATGTTATTTTTTCTGTTTATTTCTGGACTAATCTGGTCTTGTGTCCACACTGGGGATCTGGGGTTTTGATATTTGCATTCTCAAAATTTATCTAACCTATTTTTACTGAACAATTTTCTTCATTTGGGAATACCATTGTTATCACTGCCCTGGAGTAACAATTTTAACTACTTTGCTTTTTAGATTATTGTAGAATAATAAAACTAACACAGTTTATTTGGTTTAACTCTTACATTTTTAATACAATCCTTCCCCTATAAAAATTTTTAAAAAGCATTTCATTTAACAAAAACCACATATGCAAGCACAGATAAAATTCATTAACTAAACCAATAAAATTTTGGGACAAAAGTCATCACAAAGATTCTTGTAAAAGATTTAGGCATGGTAGAGATATAGTAATATGTCTAACAATACACTTTTGCACATAATAATATAGGGAACATATATCAAGACACAATCAATGAGCTATGATATTGTTTGGTCAGTTTTTGCTAATAATGTTCATTAGTAGTATTGACTAAAAGTGTGTACTTCCTTACCTCAGAGGCTAAAAAGGAGAGAACAATGCTTTTGATACCAAGGTGAAAATACTGCACATATTTGAGAGAAAGGAATCACAATTTTAGAGATGCTGATATATATAGCAGCATTTGGGGTGAAAGAAAGATACATATATGCCAGTGGAGCCTTTCAAGTACTTGCATGAACAGACAGTAAGTAGGCACTTAATGAAATTGCTGCTTTCACCTAGACAAGATCCAATCCTAAGTGAAATGCTGAAATTTAAAGTGACAAAGATTTGTAGTTAACCTGTAAGTAATGATCAAGATGATAACAAAAACACAATCTACCATAAAGTGAAAGGACAAAGATGCGTTGGATTATCTGTTTATGGTTGCCTTTTGGAAACTTTCAAAGATAATATGCAGCCCTCAAACTAAAAGAGCTAAAACAGCATGGTATTGGCACAAGAACAGAGACATAGACCAATTGAATAGAATGGAGAACCCAGATATAAAACCATCCTCATATAGCCATCTAATCTTTGACAAAGCAGACAAAAACATACACTAGGGAAAAGAATCCTTATTCAATAAATGGTGCTGGGAAAATTGGATAGCCACATGTAGAAGACTGAAACAGGATCCACACCTCTCATCTCTCACAAAAATCAACTCACAGTGGTTAGCAGACTTAAACCTAAGGCATGAAACTATAAGAATTCTAGAAGAAAATGTTGGAAAAATTCTTAAAGACATTGGTTTAGGCAAAGAATTTATGGGGAAGACCCCAAAAGCAATGGCAGCAACAACAAAAATAAATAAATGGGACCTGATCAAGTTAAAAAGCTTCTGCCTAGCCAAGGAAACTATCATGAGAGCAAACAAACAACCTACAGAATGGGAGAAAATATTCGCATGCTACACATGGGTTGATAAATTGAATCTATATAGAACTCAGGAAAATCTGCAAGGAAAATTCAAACAATCCCATCAAAAGGTGGGCAAAGGACATGAACAGAAACTTTTCAAAAGAAGATAGACTAATGGCCAAGAAACATATGAAAAATGTTAAATATCTCTAATCATCAGGGAAATACAAATCAAAACCACAGTGAGTTATCACTTAACTCCAGTGAGAATGGCTTTTATAAAAAAAATTCCAAAACAATAAATGTTGGTGTGGATGTCAAGTGATAGGAACACTCATACACTGCTGGTGGGACTTCAAACTAGTACCACCTCTGTGGAAAGTAATATGGAGATACCTCAAAGAGCTACAAGTAGAACTACCATTTGATTCAGCAAGCCCATTACTGGGCATCTATGCCTAGGGGGAAAAAAAGACATTCTATAAAAAAGACACCTGCACTCAAATGTTTATAGCAGCACAATTCACAATTGCAAAGACATGGAAACTTTCAACCCAAGTGCCCATCAATACATGAACGGATTAATAAAATGTATGTATACCATGGAATACTATTCAGCTCTAAGAAACAATGGTGATATAGCACCTCTTGTATTATCCTGGATAGAGCTAGAATCCATTCTACTAAGTAAAGTTATCACAAGAATGGAAAAACAAGCACCACATGTACTCACCATCAAATTGGTATTAACTGATCAACACTTAAGGGCACATATAGTAGTAACATTCATGGGGTGTCAGGCAGGTGGGAGGGGCGAGGAGGGGATGGCTAAATACACACCCACTGGGTGTGGTGTGCACTGTCTTGGGGATGGACACACGTAAAGCTCTGACTCAGGTGGGGCAAAGGCAATATATGTAACCTAAATATTTGTACCCTTGTAATATTGCTGAAATTAAAAAAAAAATTAAAAAAAGAGCTTGAGAACTGATGTAAATGTGACAAATGTGAAATGGATAAGTTAAATCATTTTTGATAATCAACAAAATGTAAAGATGTGTCAAGAAAATTATATGGTTTGATTAAATACATTTTGACTAAGTATTTTTCCTGTGCTCAGCTGGCAGTTGTTGGAAGTCATTCATTAAAATTATTCAAGCAGAAATGTTTATATTATTTTCCTGAGACCAAAACTTACACATTATAATTTGAAAAGTCATTTTATTTTTTTATATTAAGAATTTATCCATTGTATAATTCAATAGTGATAAATTTAATGACTAGGAAAAAGGTATAAATGTAATAAATACTACAGATCATAAATAAACCTGTAAAGTGTGACAGGGAAAGGAACAAGTAATAGAATGAACATAGTGTTTAACTTTCTTTTCTTTTCTATACTGTACTAATATTGCAAATCATAGAAAGACTTATCCATATCTATGCAAAATGTATTTCTCAGTGCACTGAGATCATAAGAACATGAATTATATTAATCTAACTGTAGGGTCAAGTGGAAATTAATCCTTATCTATGAGTTTTCTGTTATTTAGCAGGTTCAGCTATAAGTTTGGAATTACTACTTAAATTTAAATTTTTATACTATATGTATATATTAAGAATAAAACAACTGGATTTTTTTAAAATGAGGAAACACACATTTCATTGAGATTAAACTTTTCTCCACATCACCAGAGGATCATGGTTTTGATTTCTCTGCAAATTCTTTTGTGCAACACTACAGAAATGATTTATACAAGTACCTAATTAACTTGTTTATTTTACCTTCTGGTTTTAGTTTCATGGGAAGTTTTTGAAATAATAAAGTGATGTTTGAAATGTTATACTGAACTCCAACTGCATGATGAAGCAAATGGCCTAATCTCTATGAAGGTCAAGTTATAAATTATTCTTATGATGAAACAAGATACAGATGGTCCATGAGCAAAATATCAACCACTGGCTTCTTGATGAAGGTGCTTAGATGTTCTCTGGTTGCATCTCAAAATAAATATGGACCCCGAGTTATGACAGCAGGTTTTGGATGTTCACTGGGATTACAGCAGCTACACCATAACTGATTTAAATGTGTCATCAATTATTTAGAGCCACATTTTACAGTGAATTATTAATTTTTCCCAAAAGTCACCATGAGATAGTCAGAACTTTTGTGCTTATCATGGTGATATGGTTCCATTTGTAATTGCAGGAGCCCAAGAAGGGTAGGTGTTGAGGTCAAATAGAGGTACAATCCAGGTGGACATAGCAAGCATCACCACAGCAACACTAATAATATTAACACCAAGTCCAGCTTTAACCTTGAACAGAAAAGAGCATAAATGTCAGTCTCTCAAAAACAAACAAACAAACAAACAAACAAACAAACAAACCTATAGGAGAATTAGAATACTGTTGTAGAAAGTACATGACAGATTTATATGCATCCTAAATGATTAGTATAAATTGTCATTTCTTAAAACCAGGGGTTCTTCTCCATTTATGTAAAAAGAAAATCTTTTAGTTGGAGAGTCTCAGAGAGGTTCCTCTTAGGAATATACCTAAGTCATTCTGATTAGAAAAAAAAATCCCCTTAAACATCTGCCATTTCATACTAAATCAGAAATTAGCTTTATAGTTTTATATTTCAATGGGTAAGGTTTAAGACAACATATGATAACTGTATCCTTCATATTCACTCAATATTATTATTAACTTACCCTTTAATATTGTTTTATTGAGATTTTATAATGCTACATCAATTCATCATAGAGTTTTCATCTTTTTAGCTCTTACATTATTATTCTGGTGTCCATTAAATAATCTCAAAGTTGCTTTATATCTATTATAATAGAGGTTGGAAAACCACTGCCCTTGACTTGTTTTGTAAGCAAGGTTTTATTGGACCACAACCATCCTAGTTTGTTTATATATTGTGTTTGGTTGCTTTCATGATACAAGGGCAGAGTTGAGTCGTTGTGACAGAGACCTTATGGCCTACAGAGGCCCAGATATTAACTATGTGGTCCTTGACAGAGAGAGTTTGATTATCCTTGCATTCTGTGCATAAAGCATCTAGTCCAAAGGTAAAAGGGAGATACCTAGCAGTAATTATTATAGAAGCCTTCTTCTCTGCCCACTCATTCTGCAAGCCACTCATCTATTCCAGCATCTTGTTCTTATTCATTTTACTACACATGCATTGAGCATTGCTTATGTTGCATTATGCATGTTTTCCTTACCAAATGAATATTATGAAATTACTGTATAGAAACAGTTCCAGAATTTTTCTGTTGCAGGGGTTTAGGAACAACAATCTGTAGGGAAGAAAGGGAGCTGGGACTTACCCTGGAACTGCATTTGCATAGGAAGCTCCCTGAATTTAGTTTGGTTATATTTTTATTTGGCTTGGTTTGGAAGTTGGTGATGAAGAGTTGTGGGGAGACTAGAATATTCTCAAGCCAGTGCTTAACTACCACTACTTTTGTGTTTGGCAAAAAATGTGCATGTGTTATCACATACATTCTCCATCAGCAATTGCTTGAGTTTTCATGTCAGGTGCCAGTATTAAAATCATATCAAGAAAGATGCCTTTTTGTCAGTCAGGCACTGACCTGATGTCTTATTCAGAGCAAATGTTGGTTGCATAAATATTTGTGATATCAAACCAGAGTTTTATTTTAACTGCTGAATTTCACTAACCCAATTTCTTCCTTTTGCCTGGGTCAGGATGGATCCTGACCTTGACAAGTTAAGTTTAAGTTGTTATGTTGAGCATATTCACTGCTCTTTTCTTTCTTCCAGGGCATCACTAATACATTCAAATATCTTTGTATTTTTGAGCATAAATTCTAATGACATATTCACTTTTAGTTAACACTTTTAAAACAATTCTATGACCAGTCATGCACACACTTTCATAAACAGAACTCAGGCCATGCTTTTCCTGGTGGTTGATTGGTGTGTAAAAGGGAAGATAATTCAAGATATCACACACAAAAAATGTGTATTAGATCTAACAGTATTCTTTCAGGTAACTCACCATGTCAAGGACTTTCAGATGACCATATGAGAAGACAATCGCATTGGGTGGATTTGCTACTGGTAGGAGGAACGCAAATGAAATACAAAGAGTGGAAGGTATCAAAATTAAAAGAGGGTTCACTTGAATAGCTTCAGCCTATTTGTAAAAGACAAAAAGGAGTCTAAGTCAAATTTTGAGACTAGGCACCAAACATCAAAATTAACAAATTTGTTGTAATAAACTTTCCCAAAAGCAGGTTGAAACCTAATGGCATAAAATTATACACATAATTGCAGTTATAACTTGAAGAATATTTTCATAGAAATATCTATGAAAGAAAGAAGAAAACATCTCTTCCTCTTGTTTATATAGTTATTGATGCCTATTTAAACATTGTAGTCCAGTTCATTTAAAAAATGAACTATCACTTATTACAGAAACTAAATAAAAATGGCAACCATTTATTATTTATCTAGTGCTAGGTGCTATGCTAAATGTTTATATATGCATACATATTCATATATTCATATATAATATAATTTATACATTATGTGTAATATATGTTTTATATTTTCATAATATATAAATTATATGTAATATATAATTCATTGTATCATATGATACATAACATGTATTTATATATACATATTAATTTATACAATGACCTTATGAGGTGGCTACTATAACCCCAAATAACACATGATGAAACTGAGGCCCAGAGATGCTAAAGTAACTAGCCTAAGCAGGCAGCTGGTGAGCAGCAGAACTTAGGTAGGGTCTCAGGTCCCTCTGGCTTTAGAGCTTCTCATTATACTACTAACTTTACTGTCTCTGTGACATATGTAATTTGCAATTTTCTTAAGGATCATCACAAAAGAGTTACTATTATTCTTAATTCAATACACAATTTTTAACTGTTCCATCTTTAGAAATAAAAAGAAAGCAAAACCCAAAATGATATTTTACTAATACAAATAGCCAATATTTTTTTTTTATAATTTGAAGCAGCAACTCAAGAACGCTAACATATGCCATTTGTGCTTGTAGCAGAACAATTCCAGAAAGACAATCCTTCTCAATTTAAAGTGCTTTCCTTTCACCAGACTCATCCATCCCAATGAGAAAAACGTTTTATTTAAGGCTCTTTCTTGTAATTGCTAGCTAGGTGGCGAGAAGAAGAAAATACAATCTCTCCATCTTTCTCCCTTAGCACACCTGTTTTTTATATTCCTTTTTATTATTCTTCCCAGGGCAGTAGATAATTGTGTCTAAGATATTTAAGCCTGAAGCCTGGAGTATAAGCCTAGTTTTTCATTCATTTGCAAATCACTTATATGAAACACTGAAAACTCTGAAATTTAGGCACAATGTTCTAGAGGGAAAAGTGTCTGTGTTAGAGCTCTAAATACTAACGTTGCCAGGAAATTTGAATCCCAAGTTTTATAACTGGAATGGATCTAGCAGATGAAAAAACTGGATTGAGAGAAAATAAGTGGTTTACTTAAGATCATGCTGCTCAAACATGAAAACTTGAAAATAGTTCACTTGAGTCAAGGTCCACTAAAAGCATTAGTGCAAATAAAGACCACTCTACAAGTTACTTTAAAGGAGGCCCATTTAGGCCAAAAAAGAGTCCATACGACAACATGAAAACCACCATTCCAACGTAGAACACTACTCTTGATGAAGAGTATAAACTGCTCTTAAAAAATGACATACTCACCAGTGAAGATAATATTGGGAGAACGAGGGTAATGGTAGCTGGATTGCTGGCTACCTCTGTTAAAGTTGTGACCATCAAAGAAGTTATCAGAATAATTAGCCATACTGGTAATGAACCTAGAGGAGATAATTTATTTCCTATCCATTTAGATAGTCCTGATACCTAAAAAACAAAATCACAGTATTTGTTATTCATTAATAATTTATTTTAATCAGAAACAATTTAAATATATAAAAGCATTATTTGTCCTGAAAGCTAGTTTCTAAAATATAATTTTAATCTCTCATTTTTCTGTAATTTGGTAGATCTAGATGCCTTTCATGTGAAGGAGCTTTCACTTAGTCTTATTTTACTAATAGCATTGTCAATATACTTTAGGACGTTTGAAACGTCTTCTCACATTTCTCAATTAAACTTTAATTTTCTCTAATATATGTAGACATTTTAACAAGTCATATAGTACTATGGGGCTTTAAGGAAAGAGCTGCACTTCTGGTTCACCTCTCCCTACTCCTAAGTTGTGTTCCCCAGAGCCAATAACTTTCAACCCTTCCTAGCTATTTATAGCTATATTTAGGTATTTAGAGTTATCTTTCAAAAATAATATTCTAATTATACTTTTTTTCCTAATTTTCAAGTTTAGATATTGTTTCCTGACTTTCTAATGTTACATGAGGATTTACTTTTCTCACATCATCAACCATACATATATTTTCAACTTCTTCATTCCTCAACTCATATATCAACATTTTTGGCTAAACCAATATTTAATGTTTACCACTATGATTATATAAATATTGCTCATAGCAGAGCAGCTTAGCATACCATGATTACATTGACTTTCTCTGTTTTACTATTTCCTTCCCCTAGGAAATAATGGCATCATTCTTTTGTTTGCTTAGTTTTCTAAGTACCTATCACTGATTCATCACATGCTCTAGTAAAACTGGAAAACTCTCCCACAAATAGACAAACATATTGGGTAATTGTTTTTGTTTTTTCATATTCCCTCATGGAAGATGTCTATTCTGGAGTATTCCTTCCCACTTCTCCATCTGGATTAGTTGCTCTTTAAATCTACTCGACTGTTGTTCCTGGACCTGTCTTTGTTATCCTACTATGAATTTCCTTCTCCTCCCCACCTTTGTTGGAATCCTCTCTTTTTCACTTCTTTGTATTGGAGGAGCACATTCTTCTATAACTTCCTGAGAATTAGTACAGGGGAGGTAAATTTTTTGAGTTTCTGCATGTCTGAAAACATTTATTTTCTTTTTCACACTGTTCTGATAGTTTAGTTTTTGTAAAATTCAGGCTTTCATATAGTTATCACTCAGCAGTTTTATGTTTTTGCTTAGTTTCCTGTGGCTTCCAGTCAGATCCTTTGGGAGCTGGATCACATTCGTATCTTTGGTCCATTGTATATCACATATGTTGCATTGTATATCACGTATGGTTTTTCTCCCCTGAGAGGAAGGGGAAAATCCTCTTTTTGTGAGAAGATTTTAATGAGCTACCCCATGTATGAATCCTTAGGCTCATAACAGCCGGACTTGGCATCAGAATGCTCTAATTATAAGTAGTATACCTGCAGATTAAAAGTTGGCACAAACATCCCCAGATATGGGTAGCAGATATCTTGTGTGTTATTTGTGGTTTTGACTTATATATATATATTTTTTTCTTGTTATGATTTTTAGATGAGAAAAGACTGCCTATGCATTTAAGTCACATTGGACAGAAATTCATTCTGGAATATATATACTTTTAGAATGGGTTTTATCTATGTCTAATTAGATGTAGAAAAGACTATACTACATAATGTTCCCCCTCTCTGGAGGTCATTGGGATCACATCTTCATCTTCTATTTCAAAAATTAACAAATTTATTACTATATAATTTTCAAAAATTCTATATATGAATTTGATATTGGGTACTCAGTAGCTCTCTTGGTCTTGAATCCCAAAACCTTCAGTTCTGGGAAATTTCTTGTATTATGTTTTGGAACTGTCCTTCTCTTTTATTTTTTTTCCTCTTTCTGAAATTCCTTAGTTGACTGTTGGCCATTTTGGATTGATGGCTTTAATTTTCTTATCTTTTTAATAATATTTACTTTGTTGTAAATATTAATTAATTAATATCAATTGCTACTAAACTTTTTTATATCTGCTATCATATTTCTAGTCTTCAAGGGCTCTTTCTTATCTTCTGCCTATTCCTTTTTTAAAAAGTAACATTCTATTTTAGTTTCATGTCTTTAAAGTTTCTAACATCTCTTTGAGGTGTCAGTGACAAATCTGTAAAATCTTCTTTTGCTTCACACAATTTCCTTGCTTTTTTTATGTGTTCCTTTTCTTTTTATTTTTTGTGATTACTTTTTGTTGCTGGTTGCTATATTGGAGGCTTTCCCGACTGTCTGGTGATCCTGGACTACCTATTCGGTTTAAGAGGGAAACAATAAAATGATAATTGAAAGTTCCTTGTGTCTGGGCAAGGATTGTGAAAGGAAGACTTTATTGTAGGTGACTGAGCCGTGAGCCAGTGTCTCATTGGTTCAATTTTGCTACAGAGTAAATCTCAATTTTCTATCAGGGAAAAGAGAGAATAACTGCCTGCTGATTCAGGACTGGGGAAAGTACCTGGGAGGCCCAAAGCTCCTTGCACACTTTTTAAACCATTCCCCATTTTCAGTTCTGATATTTATCCCAGCTTTCAGAGTTATCTGCTGCCTTCAATTCCTTAGCTCTTCCACGATCCTATGGATAAAGCAGCTTATTTCTTGTTGGCTGTTCCTTTTGCCAGCCTATAGATTTCATTTTTCGCTATTTTTTCTGCTTGTACAAAGTGGAAATATCCTCTTTCCATCTTCTACATTTTATCAACAGCTCTTGTTTGTTACTGTCCCTGTCATATAATCTTTGTTTTTGTGGATTGGCACTTTTTTTGTTCTGTGATTTCCATTTTGGTGGAGATCTGAAAAAATAGTGTGAAATCCTCCATGTTTAATCAAGGAATGTGTGAAAAGAAAAGAGGAGGAGTTATTCACCAATATGACTTTGAAGGTGACTGCCAGCTCATGAGAGATCAATCATGTTAAAGCAAAATGAAGGGGCATTTGAGAGAGAGGTAATTGCAATGAGGTGAATATGGGACTAGCTGCTGTCTCATTGTCCCCAACTAAAAGGATTATCTGGTTCTGAACATTTGCTAGACTAATTATAATTTGGAACAAAATTTTAAAAAATTAACTGCCTCCAAATCTTTGTAAAACCAATTTCTAGAGGTATATTTGTCCACAGCCATATTTTTTAAAGCTCATGGCTTTAATCTGGCCATTTAGGGGTAGGGTTATTTTGGGTATCCTGTAGAAATCTGATTCTGTATACGAGGATTTTTGTAACAAAGTAGACCTTTCTCTATGGGTTCCTTAATTCCTCCACTGAGAGAACCTAGTGTATCAGACTAAGTCCATCCATTTTCATTTCCTTGCTTTTTGCTGTTCTAAGATCTGGCCTTTGCTTTCAAAACCACTTTGAGTGTCTATGGTTCCGTCTAGACAGATATTCTGAGGAGAAATGAGCAAAGTTCATATCAATGCCTACTTGATGATTTTGATTTCTTCACAATTTACACTAGCAGACATAGGAATGGAATTTACTTATTCCAAGCATCTATTAATATATCTTATTACTGCTAAAATAGAAAAGAAAAGTGTATTTATCTTATATTTCTACTATTTCTATTTGGGCAGTCTATGAAGCAAGCCAAATCTAAACATTAGAACAATGTCATAAATGGCACTCAGGATTCAATTTCCAAGACTTTCAGCTATTAGTATATCCTCCTGCTGAAAGCTCAGTATCTAAATACTATGCAGGAAAATTGCCGATAATGTTAGCAACAAATAACAGTCTCACTATAAGTTATCAAGAAGAGAAGAAACAGTTATTTGTCTTGAGAAGTATAACAATTTAATCTCCTGGATGCCAAAAAGCTGGATACAATACCTCTTTCACCATTCTTTTCGATTTGATGACTAAGTAAGGAAATGGAACAGCCATAAGCTTTGAGTATTTCATGAAAGGCTATGAAATCCAAAAATAAGTGGTTTCTAATTAGTCTAAGAGTCAAGGATTTTCATGGAACTTTTGGAGAAAATACTTCCTTTCCAGTAATCCCACAATGACCAAGGTAATTCAGAATCAAGTTCCTCCCCAAACTGCTACTAGACAGCTAGGTCAAAGAAATAGCCAACTGTATTTCTTATGATGTTTTTATTTCTTCCTAAGATTAGGCATAATATAATGTTAGACATGGTTATGTGAAATTTTCCTTTGGACTTCATTTAATAAACATTTATTAAGTATCTTTAATGCCAATACTGTTTCTCATTCTCCTTCAATAGCAATATGACCATGATATATTAAAGTCTGAGAGCTACTCAAATTCATCATGAAATACAGTAAAGGCATAAACAAAAAAAAATGTGTTCCACTTGAAGTCAATATATATATATGTATATATATATACATATATATGTATATGTATATATATATATAACTAAGCTAGTATTTTACTAATACTATTTCATGAATTAAGAATTTTAATCTTTTTTTGCATTATTTCTTTTGACATGCTGGAGTACCATAAAAAATAACATTTTATGCAGGCAGCCTATAAAAATTCTTGAACTCTGAACTAATCTCATCTGTGTGATATACTCACTGCATGGCTATTAAAATTTACATCATTAAAATGATAAAATAAAATTGAATAAACCAAAAGCTTGAATGTCTCTGTGTTCTTTTAAACAGTCTAGTTGATTGTTAAATATCTTACACAGTGTATTACCTCACAGCCATCTGCCAGGGCAAACCCTCCACCGACAAGAATGGCTATATCCCAGGGCATGAATGACTGAAATTCTTTCCAAGTAATCAGTGCAGAGTAATCAAAAGAAACTGAAAAAAAAAAAAAAAAAAAAAAGTCCCACAGTTACACATTGCTTAAAACATGACAATATGACATTTTTTTCAGTATTCTAAATAGCCATCTCATGAGACATTTATAGTATTCCTATATTGTTTTTAAAGGGAGAATTTGATCTAAACTTTGAGTAATTTCACCTGGCCTAGGTGGAACATTATAAAAAATGCTATAACTTAGCAAAATACTTTGGCTAATATTATAGACTATATTTACATAAATTATAACATTGTCATTTATAATGACATTTATTCATTCCTTCATTCCACAACATTTTAGTCTACTATGAGTAACACAGTGTATTAAAGTATACTATTCTCTGCTATGAAAAATGTCTGTAATATTCCATTGATTCCAAGAGCATCAGCATAGCATTTTAATTATTATTCACTAATATTTATTTGAATTTTTTATTTTTTAAATCATAAGGAGAACAATGATAGATTCATCAGGATTCCAATTTAAAGATAGTTCAAGGTTCAGATTAAATCAATTGAAGTATTATTTGTGAGACTTTTGAAATGCTCATAAAGCAATTATGACAATTTGTCTTGACATTTGCATTCTGATATGTCTGTTATTTTGTTGATAAATAAGTTCATTTAGGGACACAGTATGTCCATTTAACATTGTGATAACAAGCAGCCTTCTACATACAAGATTTTAAGGTTACTCGTGAGTCTCCTTCCTATCACCTTCCCCCAAACCCAAACCAAACAGACCCTCACTGATGACTGAAATGTTGCTACCAGGTTTCTTACTTGGACTAAGGCCATATATCCTGTTAAAGCATAACATCTTTGATAAATACCTCTCATTTCAAATTTAATACATTATAAATTATCTGTCATTTTTAAACCTAGTATGAATAAGTTTATCAGGAACAGGTGTTGAAGAATAAGGACAGACAGAAAGATGGACAGGGGCAAGCCTCTTTTTAAGGGAGGAGATTCTGATGTGGGAACCAGGGAAGCTAAGGCTAAACATGGGTTCTTCCATATTTGCCGCTGCCAGGCCTTAGGGCATGGATTGCAATAGTCAGAGTCCTCAGGGTCTCATAGGAATTGATGCTCAATATTGCAACATCTCCTTAACACACAGTGAAATATCCTAAACTCAAGTAATAAGCAAAAGACATTTATTTCTATGCTATGCAGGTCACATATATCGTGTCTTGGAAATTTGAAACATTAGTCATTCATGGATTCAGGCTCAAGGAATCAGGTGAGCCAACCCAACATCATGAATCCTAGTTCCATCCTAGTTTGTCAGAACAAACAAGTAAAGCCGGAACTCCACTAGCTTATTTCCAGACAATTATAAATTATTTGTCTCACATCGACAACATAGAAATCTAACTACTCAAAACATGTGTTAGTACAAAGCATAACCATGGATGAATCCTATGTTTAAGAAGTATGTATATGGTGTGGGGCACACACACACTTCTTATGTACAGGGAGGAATATGCTCATACAAATAGGCATGCTTCTTTGTCCATGTGTTATAAACACAATGAATGCTCTTACTGAATACCTTTTCTGTCAATTTTAACCCTAGTTTATGGCTATGTGAGGTTGATTTGCTTTTTTTTTTTTCACGGCTACTTTGAAGCTGTAAATGTACTTTCTGTTGAAATTCCTCTCCTTTTTAGATCCCCAGAATTTGTTACCAAGGGTTCATCATGAGGCAATATTTCCAAATTTTTGTCCCTATGTTCAGCAATAGTAAGGTTAATGCTGACTATGGCAGCAGAGATAGGTTTGTCATGGGTCAAATAGTCACTTGTAGCAGAGCCCTAACCATGGTGCAAAAGGAAATCTGCTCCTCACTTCTGCAAAGTAAGCTGATCCTTCTTGTGGAAGGAGGAGAGGTGCTGGCTGAATAAGGGGTTGTAGTGTGCAAATAGGTCATGCCAAGCCAGGGGGTGTGCCAGAATGGCCATTCTTTCTGTTCTAAGTTCTAACTGGTGGAATTGTATATGTTTTGCTCTTCTGTCATATTGATCCAGAATGATAAATGACACCAACCAATTTCTCCCGTAGATGTAGTTTTAGTCGACATCTTAGCTGGGATAATAAAAAACAGGAGTCCTACAAGTAAGGCAACAGTTGAATCCGAAATAAAACCAGGGTACCTGAAAAAGAACAAATGTGTATTAAAAACCAACAACAAGAACTTACAGAAGCTAAACATCAATCGATTATGTTAATACCATGTAAGTATAATAGTAAGGGTGGTATAAGCTATTTATTCTGGATAATCTGTTCTAAAATCTATGGATTTCCAACTAAATGACATAATTTACTACAGCAAATAATCTCAGATCACATTCCTATTGTCTTCATATTTATCCTTATTTTCAATACCAAATACGCACATCCAGGCAAGCTAGGCTAATGTGGCAAATTTTCCTTTTAGGTAAGCTTACATATCTGTTAAACAATTTCTCCTTTGAATTATTTCTTTTAATCGTATTGACAGAGAATTGAATTTGAAACAATTGCTAGAGTAGGCAAAGCTTCATATAATTGATATATAACATCCTAGCATCCCTTCGATCAAATTGTAGCAAAGCATGCTGCTACTAGAGTCTCCCAAAATTCTATAAATTGTGAAAAGAAATTGATCTGTTTTCCAAGGTATAACACCTGCTTCTGTGGTTACAGGCCCTAGCCATATCATACAAATGAAATCAACCCCTTTAATGCTTTGTACTCTGTGAAACTCAATTAAGAATATAAATTATTGGAGTGGTTTGTGCAATGCTCATAAATGATGGTTGTACAAATTAAAAGCGATTGGGGAGCAGATGGGGTCTTAGAAGCACCAGGCCATTCCAACAAATAAGACAGGTTCCCAGAAGCCTCAATAGTTAAGAAACACCTGGAGATCAGACATAAATGCAATAGATATATAATTAGAATTCAGTTTTAAAAGTCAGCAACATTGACTAGTGCATTTTTGCAACATGAGAAGAAATATGCACATCCTAATGATTATTTTGCTACCTTGTAACTCAGTAATGTTTACATACTAAAGAAGTTTTTATACTTATGTAATGTACCGAAAAATCTATTAAATATATAATCAAGGAAATGTGTTATCTTTCTCCATCTAACAATTTGTAAAGCCGTCTGTTTTCCTTAAATATACACTTATGTCCTTTCATCATTGACTATCTACCATAATATAATTTATAAACAAACTTGACTCATATTTATAATTGTATTGTTTCTTATTTATTTTATTTCAGTTATAATTTTTGGTTGATTTTTTTGGCAAATTGGGCCAGGCATCATGTAACCAGATTTTGTTTTATTTGAAAAGACACATTGAAGTCAGTCCAAGTTCAAACAGATGGAATGAAAACGTTAGGTAAACGTAGCTATAAATCTCGATATATCATTCTGGCTTTAAGAATTCTAAATGCCTAGAACCTCTACATAACAAATATTAATATATTCTATAGAATATTTGCCTTAAGTAACATCAAGGCATAAATGCTGAAATAATTTATCTTCAAAAGACTTAAAGTGATGATTATTTTAACTGTTATTTTTAGTTTATTATGGAATTAATTTAGGTGATCTCAGTATTACAAAATAATAAGCCTATGCAAATTTTATTTGCTTTGGGTTTGCCAATTAGATTTATATTTTCAAATCCCATCTTCTCTCAAACATTTGATTCTTTCCTATTGTTATTTCTCAGAATTCTAGGAGACATGAGCACCTGCCCATAGCCAATACACTGTGTTCCTGCTACAAACAAAGCATGTCCTGTATTACAGTTTCTTTTAATAAGGAATGGCAAATAGAAGTTGATTATGTTGAATTTCCTATTTGGATTTCTGCCAGGTTTTATTAGCTATTGTCTTATTTCATTTAGTTCTTACATACTGGTGTTTAGAGAAAGAATCTCCCTATCTAGGATGGTAGGAGTTGGATTTTAAAAAGGGGAATAATTATTTTTTATGTTGTTCTAGATCCTACCACAAAACCAGAAAGTACTAATGAATTATTAAACAATTACTTCTTTTAAATACTTGGATAATACTTTTTGTTTGTACCTCTCAAAATAAACAATTTTATTTTTAAAGGAAATAAAATGTTTGTAAAGTTGAAGTTGATCCTTAAAAAAAAAAAATGCTACCACATTGCATTGCTTGACTTGTGTAGTTGTTAGGAATTTGAATTCAGACTTTGCACTTTTTAAAAAGTGTTGGTAATGCCTGTAAAACCAGAAGTTCTAATTCAGGGAGGGAGGAATTTCTTTATTCCATGTGGGCAGAATACATTTGACACAAACAATTTTGGTTTCTGCCCCACAATGCATGGATTTTTGTGGAGGATGTGAGATAGGAAGTCCAAGTAAGAAATCTGCTGAATTTAGAAATTAGAGTACTTTAGTGAAAGATAGATCAGGAACAAAAATCTCACAACCAAGTTATTTATATTACATGTAGGCTGGCCCTAAATTTAGAAAATTATGCTATTCTCTTCCTCCTCACTTCACATGACTCAGCAATGACTGCTTGTATATAAGACACTGAGAGATAAAATTAACTCTGACCTAGCTCCCAGCATCAGCTTTTAAAATCTCTCTTATCACTTATTCAGGAATTCCTTATCTATAAAAGGGAGGCTGGGCTGAACTCATAGTGAACTGGTGCAAAAATGTGCATAAATAGAGAAAAAGACAAGATATTGAACCAAATAAATAGTCCTCCACAGAAGCAAAAAAATAAATAAATAAATTGATAAAATACACAGAATATGAATTTATATAAGATTATTAAGAGGTGTTAAGTGACATTTATTTCGCACAACAAACATTTATATAGCACTTTTATAGGGAGAAAGGCCACACTGTTCTAAGTGCTATTATCATCTTTATTGAAGAAACTGAAAATTAAGGGACTTGCCCAAAGTCAATGGAAGATCCAGGAATGAAGTATGGCTCCAAAATCTATACTCCTAACTGCCATAGAACATAGCCTTTCTGCAGATTATATTTCCCATTCTGTCAGAATAGTCTTTTCTAATGGACCTTGGGTTTTAGTGACAGGGTAGTATGGTTATCATTTATATGGTATTCCCTTAGATTTCAATCCTTATATTTAGTTTTTTTTTCTAAAAAGATTACAAGTAAAAATATATTTTCAAGGGAAAGGAAGAAAAAAATCTCATACAGTATTCTGGAGTCACAGGAATCACATAGGAGGGAAGCAGAGTATAAAATGGGAAAGGCTGACAAAGGTAGCATGGAACACTCACTTTGAAGCAAGTGCGGACCAGCCAGAAACAAACCCAGGATCTCGGGTAAACCACAGCAGGGCCATCACGATGAAGAGGACCAAGGTCACAATTTCTTGATACCTGTGAAAAAATTCCAATGCCATCATTTCTTGTTTTCTCAGTCAAGACATTTATAGAAACTCCCTGAGCTATTTCCAGGAGTAATCTTAGCAGAACACTAAACACTGTAAAAGTTGGATGTGTCAATAATTTGAGAGCATCAGCGCAGGTAGGAAAAAACCTTACTCCCCTGTGGAATCTCTCAGCTTTCCATTCTATCTGGCAAATTTTAGTTAGACCACAGGCTGTATTTTGTCATGTTTAGTTATATTCACAACGCTTAGCAATTTGGGGGTCCTGATCAAGTGTTATAAATAACACTTGATAAATAGTGTTATAAATAACACTCTCAGGCACGTAAGTGCTGATTTGCTTTTTTTTTTTTATTTCGGCATATTATGGGGGTACAGATTTTAAGGTTTCAATAAATGCCTTTCCCCCCTCCCCCCACAAGTCTGACTTTCCAGCATGACCATCCCACAGATGGTGCACATGTCACTTGTTATGTATGTATATACCCGCCCCCCTCTTCCCTCTCCCCTCCCTATTCAGCTCTAAGAAACAACGTTGATATAGCACATCTTATATGTTCCTGGTTAGAGCTGGAACCCATACTACTAAGTGAAGTATCCCAAGAATGATTTGCTTTTAAATAGCTTCTTGCAATATAAGCAGCACATATCTCTGGGTGTGTGTGTGTGTGTGTGTGTGTGTGTGTGTGTGTGTGTCTTACCTCATTGGCCCGAGTTTTTGGTATTCATTCTTAATCACTTCAGCACAAGCTTTTTGTTGGAATGTTTTGGTTTTGTCACATTTGAACATCTTGAAACTGAAAAAATAATTCAGCCTATTATTTAAAGGATTCTTTCCCTATCACCCTCCTTTATGAAAGACACTTTTTGTGAAATCTTCATAAAATATGAATCTCCCTGCTAATAACAAAAATCTGTGCTTTTTTTCCTCTATTTCTATTTCTAGCTCCTTCTTTGAATATCCTATCCCCTCTTTTCTGTTTTTGCCTGGTTTTCTCACTTATCAAGGCTTAATTTTTGTTGCATATTTTCCATATCTTCCACCAATTTCTTTTTTTTCCAAGTCCATTTGCACCATTGGAATTTTGACACATGCTGCTTATCACTAAGTAACTCTTTATTATATATTTGACCATTAGATTATATTTTCAAAATATGTTTATGATATATCTTGGTTGTTAATTGTTGCACACAGACAAGTTTTATCCCACTAGTTAGATAAATTATCCTCAGGGAAGGATAGTGACAGTGTCATAGATGTTTTCTGTGGCCCTGTATCTCTGAGCACTGGCACGCACAGTAAATACTTGACTCATCAACTCAATAATATCTTTGGCAAATTTATAAAACCGTTGATGTCAGATCCATCAATTTTCACAAAGCATGATAAACTTGAGTTAAACACTAGGGCAGGGAAGTCACATATACTGATCATAGTCAGAGTCCAAACTAGGTCTATTCTCAAAAGTAAAACCAACTCAATTAAATTTTTTTTTCTTTAAGCTTCTCCACCCTTAATAGTATCCATGATACAATAACTGCCCCTCTTCATTATTTTTTACTGCTTGTTTAGTGACCTCTTTCCCCTGTGACTAATTTTTCTGTCCTTAAGTCCAGGGTCTTCAAAACTTTGGACAGTTTTTATAAAATACTTCTCTAGATGTAGATTTGTAAAATGTCCTCCAGAGGAAGAAACAAATAGGAAAATAGCCAGATTCTTATGGATTATGTCTTGGAACTTTTATGAGTAGCTCAGTTAGTTTACATTATATGTAGGTATAAAAAGCAGGGACATTTTCTTTTCTAAAACTGCTGGGGTAAACATGGATATTTATGAGAGAGTACATAGGAAAACTGGGGTGTTGGAAGAGTAGTTATCACTCAGTTACAGTTACATTTGTTCCTGTAACTCTGTTATGTACCCTTATTTGGATGTGATTCCCTTTGGAGCAGCAGAATTTCCATAATTCTTAAGCCACCCATCCTATACATTGATAGTCACCCTCATGCATACACCCCAACACTGAACATAAGTAGATGGGCGTTGTTGCATTTATAATCAATGAGGGATCAATGGGAAATTTCCTTTTACAATCTCAATTATATTACTGACTAGTACCAGTCTTGGAATTTTGTCCCTTGTTGCAATACAAATACTGCATATCATAAGAAATATAATATAACTAATCCTCAGGCCACCTAGAGAATCATCTGTAGAAAAGAAAAATTAAAGAAAGTAGTTAAAGAAAGAGAAAAGGTCTCTTTAGAAACTATTTTGTACCCAAGTTACCACATATATACTTTGCTGTTTTGGTTGCAGGCAATAAATAGTTAAGTCAAAAGCCAAATTGGCTTTGCTACAGATGAAGGTTAATGCCTTCACAAAGGAACTGACGAAGCATATGACAATGCATCAGCCTCTCCATTTAAATAGGTTCAGTGGCACTGACATATGAGCTTCTCTTCCCAACTACGTTGGAGTCATTTATAATGGGTGAGTTAACTGTGTTAACAGCCGACACACTAATCAGAATGTAAGCTGGTCCGCCAGGGGAGCAGCTGATAATTTCTGTTGTCGATCTAAAACCTCTGGAGGTGAACATCCTGGTAGACTGAAAAAGACACTGAAAAATTAGCTGGAGCATGGAGCCATGCAGTGTCTAACCAATAGTGGACACCAAGGGGACTGTTTAAACATGCCACTGATCGCGATTTATGGACTTTGCCTAATGTATACACGTCACGGGATATTTTTCCTCACGGCAAGCACATCTCAATATATTTATTTGTCCCTTATCTTCTCAACTTCTCCTTTTGAAGTGGTAGGCCATTTTAAGATAATGAAAATGGTTTCATATATATTTTATAATGGCATTATATGTAGCAACAAAGAATGAAACAACCGTGGGCCTGTGACTCCACGGACTTGAGACCCCTGTCCCTTGTCTCCTGCATTGCCACCTGAACAGTTGAATAGGCGCTCAAAGGCTTGGCTGTCCTGGAAGAGGCACTTAGTATGCATCTGGCCTCTACCCATTGATGCCCACCTGCTGAAGTCAGTGACATTCCACACATTGGCCTCAACAGGAGGACTGCCACATGCTGCTCCCACAATCTGGATAGAATTTTTTTAAAAAACATCATCAGTACCATCTTCTCACTACTAACAAAACTGTGTCAGTTCTGGGGAAAAACTAGAAATAGGAATGCAGAGGGGAGAATGTCAGTCCTCATATTACTAGGCTTGGAAAACATGGGCGCAGACATGGAGCTGCACCTGATTGCAGTGAGTTGTTTTGCAAAGGAAGAACAAATAGCTGACTTCAGCCTCACTGGCTTGGTGAATAACGCGCTGTTTTATTCAAAGGTCACTGGAATTATTTAAGTAAAATCCTACAGAAATGAATTTGAATTGTTTTATTTTTCAGGAAAGAAAATTCTCAAGGGTTGATAAACAGCTATTTTGCCTTTCTCTTTGGAGCGTTGCGAAATGATTTGAAAATACGCTGCTGCATTTTAGATTTTGCTTAGGAGCCCTTCACATTTTAAAATGCTTCCTGTCATCTAAGTCATTAACTCATTGGTATTTATGAACTACCAGCTTTGATCCCAGCCTATACAAAATATTGAAATTCTCTTTGATACATATATTTAACATTTTAGCAGCATCAGTAAGTCTATATTGATCAATAATTCTTACTTTAACTTGTATGTATTCAATGTGGATCCATGTGTGTTAGAATTATGGCTTGGAAGTGATCTTACTGATCTTTTAGATAAATTATCATTTGGCAGCTGAAGATGCTGAGACTGAGAATGGGTCTGGACTTGCAAGAATCACTCATCTGGCCTTTGAGAAGCCACAATTTTATCCCTGGTCTTGTGATTCCCTAATTCAATATTCTTCCCACAGAGAACATTCTCAGGTCTTTATTTTCCTTGATATTTTGAAGGTGACATCAATTTTGGTGCCAACATGAAGCAGGAAGCCTGCATGCTACAGATTAAAGTAACTTGATAACTCAAGGAAATCCCCACATTAAATCAAGTGGACAAACCTTAAAATTCTACTTCAATCCGTTGGACATAACAATGAGTGTCCTATGCCCTCCTGGCCTAGTAATATCTTATTGGCTTAGGATTCAAAGTTCACCTGAATGGATTTGCTTTCTACAGACTCTCTTCCACAGCCAATGTTGTTTAAATGAGGGCCTAACTTATTCATCAAATATGTGTTTTTGTTTGTCACTTTTGTGGGTAAGAAAAAGGCAGAAATACAGTGTGCTTGGCCTAAGTGAAAAAGTACTGGATAAGGAGGTAGGAACTTGAAACTTAGACACTTTTATTTATCCTGCTTATATAAAATATTTACTTACTCGAATCCTAGGAAAAGCCAATGAAGCCAGATCCAGGACAAGAATAGAATAATAATAGCAGCCGGGAAGGAAAATATAAACCATGATCCAAAGTTGATGCACTGGCAGTCGGGATAGCGTCTGCGTGAAAATACAGAGAGGTGTTCAGGGAAGGAGGGACAAGTGGAACCCTTTAGGATGGTCATTGGGAAGCAGAAGCCCACGTCTTTCCTGTGCTGCTGGTAAGAAGGAAGCCCTGAGATGTTCTCACCGTTAAGTAGTTTTACTCCTTGCCTCCTGACTTGATTGTGTAACTGCATAATTATTGCTGTATCCCACAAAAGCAAGAATGGACATGTTTTGATTTGTGTTCCCTACATTCAGTCTCTAAGGAAGTGCTTGGGAGAAAACCCAGCACAGTACTTGATATTTATTAAATGTGTAGGAGGGGGAGTGTGTTTTGTTGTTACTACTCACATCATCAGTATTTGAGTGAGTAAATACAAATAAGCAGACTTGGGAACAAGCAAAAATTAACAGGATTGAATGTTCCCATTTTCCCTTGGTAGCTGGAACCCCTGGGACCTACGAAGGGACTGTGATCCAGCCAGTCTCATGTCTCCTTGCCATTTTCCCCTCTGATCCTTCTGCCTCCAAAGTACTGCAAGCATCTCATCGGGCATACGATAGCCCTTTTTTCCTAGAACTAGATTATGTGTAGGGGATCCGTCAATGGAATAACACTGCGCCAGATAAAAATAATGAAAAGGTTCTCTGGAAAACATCAACTCTTTCCTTTAACTTTTCTAGCTATTTTTAACTTTTAAATTCACATAATAACAGAATAACAGCAATAGAAAATGAAGGTCAGATATGAGCACAGTGTCTTTGGTAACCTCACATTCATTGTTCTAAAATGTAGTCTAAATACCAAATACATTCTCATAGAGTCATTTATTTTATAATTATGGAAAAAAATAGGAAATTTGAGAAACAGTTGTCTTTAATATTTTTTTTCTTGCGGCAATAACACAAAGCCAGAGCTGGAAATCTAAAAAATACAGAAAATGTATAAAAGTAATAAAAATATCATTAACATATTTTAAATAATTTTGAAATCATAAAATATATAGAACTTCATAGAAACAGATTTTCAATGCTTGTTCTATTTAAATCATATCTTGTATTTTGTCATTTAAAAAGGATTATGTAAATAAAATGGCTCATAGCTACACCTATGTAGCAAATTTATGTATTTCAGAGTGTTTCCTCTACTTTAAGATGGTCTGTAAGTGATGCAAATACTTAAAAACAATAATAATAGGTTCTCAAAAGTCTAGATTTCTCATGTGTTCTATAACTTTCTTTGAGCTTATGAAAAGTTACAAATCTCCTTGAGCCCCAGAGTTATCCTTAGCAACTTGGGGACAGTTTTTATCTACCCTGAAGAGACACCAGGATTAGCTTACATATGAATGCAATTAGAAAGTGGCAAATAACAATGGGAAATGTTGGCAAATAGATAGAATTGGATGAGTGGAAAAAGGCTTTATCACATCCCTGAGGCTCTATTGAAAATTGCTCATTTTTGAAAAATGTTTATTGTCTTCAGTCAGAAAATAAAATAAGGAATAAAAGGCTTGAGCTGATTTCCTATCAACTTATGAGGCTCGAATTACAAGATGACCTGTGTTATTCTGTTCAACAAGCATAATGACACCCAGACATATTACTTGGATTAGGTTTAGAACAATGTCTCCAGGTTGAATTTAATTTTTCACCATCTGTGGCTCATACCTTGAAATCTGGCTGCATTGCTCTACCTGCCCACTGGAGAGAATCCTGTAAAATATGTTTGACTAAAGAGGGGCTTTTTTGAATTTTTGCTTGGAGGGATAGTTTGTTTAAAAAAATGAAATCCTGAAAAAGTTAAATTTTGTTGTTTTGTTTTTCTTTTTTTCTTCACTAGGTAAGGAAGTATATAAACAACCACATAGTACTGTGACCTCTATAATCATAGCCTTTACCCTTAGACCTATAGTGACTATTGTGAATAAAAAATGGAATGAATGGCATACTCTAGGGCATTAATTTTGCTGGGATGTTCCTTTTTCACTTTTCCTCATATCATGCAAGTGAAGTGACTGCAAACATGTGCCTAAAGCAAATATAGATTTCTTCTATCATGAACTATGCTAAGAAATTAAATTCTGATAAAAATCTTTTTCTTTTACCCAACACTGTTTGGGTGTCCACCATGTAAGTACTCATCTAGCTATTGGCAACACAGTGGTGAATGAGATGGATGTGGTCCAGGCTCTCATGAAGTTTACATGAAAACAAGGCACACGGACAGTAAACAGGTAAGCATGTAATAAAATAGACAATAAAACAATAATGTAATATTATAGTGCGGAATAAATTTTACATAATGTGGTCAGGGTAGGTGATGTTTGAGATGAGATCTAAATAGCAAGAAATCGTGTGAACAACTGGGAAACAGCACTCCAGAGAGAAGAAATGGCAGGTACAAAAGCCTTGATTTAGGAATGAGTTTGGCGTGTTTGTGGACCAGACAGGTCAGGGGAGAGGTGCAGATTGACGATGCTGTGTCCTGTGCGTGTTGATTTGAAATGTTCGTTACTTTTCCAAGTGGTCATGTTGGATAGGCAGCGAGATAAATGAGTCTGGAATTCAGAGTACAGGGCAAGGATAGAGATATAAAACGTGTCGTTATCAGCAGATAGGCAGCATCATAAACAATGAAAATGGGTATGATAATTTAGGGAGTAAGTGGAGTTGTAGAAATTAAGAGGAACTGGCAGTACACCCTGGGGTACTCTAAGTTTTAGAGGTCAGACAGAGGTGTAGGAAGGAGCAGATGAGCTAAGCACTTTTAATTCTAACAGAAATCCAGTGAGGAAAGCATTAATATCCATTGCACAGGAAGAAACAGCTAAGGGGATTAAGCAGATTGCTCAAGGTCACAGATTGTGCAGGCAGTCAAGTTGGATTTTTAACCCTGGAAAAGTCTAAAACACAACTTCTTTTCATTAGCCCCCCAGGTCCTCAACTTCAGCTCCCAGGTGAAAATAAAAAATGCCATATATATTGCAAAATATCCATAGGCTAGAGTCCAGACTTTATGTTTTAAGGGCATTTTAAAACAACTATAGAAATGATCGTATCATAACACAGAGACATGCTTTAACTTAAAGCACATGTGCACATCACTGTTGACACTTAGGAAGATAATGTCACTGCAGCTCTTATGCTCAACTACAAAATGACAAATAACCTTGATACCAATGAGATGCACAGAAATGGCTTGAAAAAAGTGGATGCAGTTGTGGTAATTTACAGCCTTTTAATAGATTTTGGCCATTAAGAGTCACAATAAGCTAGTATCCACCACACTGATGACAGTCCTTTTGACTAATGACAGAATTGATTATTTCTGAGACAAAGCCACTTTGCAGTGTTGTGTGTGTACACTTCCAGAAGTTGCTTTACAAAATGTTAACCATTTGTTATTAAAGATCCAGGCTTAGATTTCTGTCAGCAATAGCAAAAATAGAAGCAGTGGCAATAACAATAGCCAGCATTGTTGACAAGTTGATATGTGCCAGGCCCTCTGATAGAGCTACATTGTCCCCATTATGCCATCGAAGCTTCACGATAATGTTGTAAGTTTGAGTATTGTCCCCATTTTACAGATGAGGAAACTGATGTTCAGAGAAGTTAAACTAATATATGGTAGGCTTAAAATCTGAACTAAGGTCTAAGTCCAAATTCTGTGATGTTTAAATTTCTTTTTTAAATTTTTTTTAAATTTCAGAATATTATGAGGGAACAAACATTTTGGTTGCATTTAATGTCTTTGCCTCACCATACCAGGGCTACAAGTGTGTCCTTCCCCCATACAGTGTGCTCCACATCCATTAGTTGTGAGTTTACCCACTCCTTTGCCCCCTCTCACCTGACTGGCACCCAGTGAATATTACTACCATGTGAGCACTTTAGTGTTGATCAGTTAGTACCAATTTGATGGTGAGTACATATGGTGCTTGTTTTTCCATTCTTGTGATACCTCACTTAGTAGAATGGGCTCCAGCTCTATCCAGGTAATATAAGAGGTGCTAATCACCATTGTCTTTTGTGGCTGAGTATATAGTATATATATATACCACATGGTATACATATACCACATTTTATTAATCCACTCATGTATTGATGAGCACTTGGGTTGTTTCCACATCTTGGTTTTGTTTTTGCAATTGTGAATTGTGCTGCTATAAACATTCGAGTGCAGATGTCTGTATTATAGAATGTCTTTTTTCCTTTGAGTAGATGGGATTGCTGGATCAAATGGTATTTCTATTTTTAGCTCTTGGGGTGACTCCAGCCAATGGTTTGGTCTGATAGGATGAAACAGCTGGTCTTTCTAGAACCAGAGTAGGAAGTAATGGGTTAAATGTGGGATAGTATTTATTACTATAGTGTTAGGAAAGGAGATTAGGTGGTGACTGGAAGAGTTTATCAGTAGAAAAGAAGAAGGGGAAAAGGGCCAGGTAGAGAGCATTAAGCAAATAGGATTTTCCTAATTGAAGAGCCAATAAAAACCGAATGAATCTGCAAGATTACAATAGGAGGTGGTGAAACAAATATTTCCAGAATGCCCTGCTCCAAGGATTTGTTAAGGCTAATGGTGAATTAATCACAGAGGAGAGTAGGGTTTTCAGAATTTAGGTGCCACAGCTCCTAGTTTCTAAAATTAAGAATGCAAGAACAATTTCATACTTCATAACTGAATTAGATAATTGACTCAGTCTTGTTAATATTATTCTGAAATTCTACTTTCCAAACCACACACACATTAGTTCATGAGACTGGCAACAAAGGAATAGTTTAGTCTAACAGACCATATCTCCAGCTTTGCTGATATTTTAAATAATATTTATTATGTGTACATATTTATATTTTATAAAAAGAAAATGCAACAGGAGAATATGAATGTGCAAATAATTCTTACTTATGTCTGGCAGAAAACGTGTTTTGTTTAGAAGTTTGCCATCGTGGCACCATCATTGATGGTCACAGATCTGTGAGGCAGTGAAGCTATAGAATGAAAAGGGCCCTGGGATTCAGGCCACCTGCCTCTACTTACTGGCTCCTTGGCTGAATAGTAATCATCACTTAAACTCTCTGAGCCTCAGTTTCCTCATCTGTGAAACGAGGGACATGTATATATGATTTGAAATTCCTCTGTCTTCACTTGTTCTCTTCTTCTCTCCTGTTCCCACTGAGGAGGATACATCCCTCTTTATCAAGACAAACATTTCCATTCTTGCTTCTAATTTCATTCCATTTCCACTAGACTCTATTCTGATCAACATTCTTTTTACTTTTTTAAAAAATCTCATGTGTCTCTGTTTTTACTGTCCCCTTTCCCTGAATATAAAACCAAACAGATATCTCACCCTTGTTCTAAAAGAAGGCTCTGCTTCTGATCATACCAAGCTTGTTCTTTTCTTCTTTTCTTTGTCAAACTTGAAAGAACCATCTAAACTTGCTGCCTTCCCCCCCCCCACTACATGCTTACTCCTTAACCATTTTCTGTCTGATTCTTTTAACCTTTCTTTCCCATGTGACCATTTCCACACCCAAGAATTTAGTTTTTGCTTTTATGTATACAGACCCCTAAATATATACTAACTCAAATAATGCATTTGCAAATGCCTACCGAAAATCTCCTATGGATAGACTTTCTGCAGGCCATTTCAATGCATCCAAATTCAAATTTATTAATTTCTTCAGTGAATCTGCACTTTCCCATGTCTTCTCAAGGAGTTCATGGCATCGTCGTCTATGCAGCCTTATGGAAAGAAGTCCCCAGAGTTGCCCTCACTCTTCCTTCCCCTTGAATCCTCACATCTAATTACCCATGACCTTTTGACATTGCAGTGTCTCAAGTCTAAATCCTCCTATCACTTCACAACTACTTCTGCCGTTCATCATCTGTCAGCACTTAGATCATGGCCTAATTGGTTTCCTGTCTCCAGACTCTTAGAGCACCAATCTGCACATTGTTATTCCAAACTGCGCAAAACATGCACAGATTATTCCACTCCTCCCCAAGAAAACCTGTTACAGACTTTGAAACTTTGATTTTATGAATTATTTTTAATCATTTTCTCCATTAATATGGTGTTTACCTCTTCTAAAATTGTTCCAGTTTGTGTGAACCAAGGGATATTGCACATAGCTACAGCCTTCTTTTGGGACACAACTTGAGTTATGTTTCTAGGGAGATAAATTTTTACCTTTAGGGTCTGACTGACCTTGGTTTTGGCTTAAATCTGCTAAATCCAGCCTCAATTTCTCTGTTCTAATGATAATAATATTCAACATTTATTGAGCACATGCTTTGTGCCAGGCACCAAGTGCTGCTTATTTTATGTAAAACTCAAAACAGCCCTCTAAAAGAGAGAATATATTATTTTCCTCATTTTTCAGGAAAGATAACAGGCTTAGAGAGCTTAAGTAACTATCCAAAGTCACCACGCCGGTGAATGGAAGAGCTGGGATGTGAACACAAGCATTTTAACTCCAGAGTCCATGTTTGTGATCACCATTATATGCCGCCTCCACAGCAAGGATATAGAGGGTATGTGCACACTATAATGTATGTGAATTATCTGGCAAGGACTCAATACCTGTCACCCTGCCTTCCCACCTATATGTCAAAAAATGAATGTTATTATGCTTACAAATGTTAATGGTTCTCACATGCATATGTTTTGTTTAGACAATCAGAATCTTCTTCCTGGTCTGTTTTGTTTTTTCTATTCTTTAATAGAATTTAAAACAGTGCACTGCACATTGTCAGTCCTCAACAAATGTTTGTTGATTGACTGAGTGAACGAATAGAGCTCTGCTTTTATTTCCACTGAATAACTTTCAGCTTTCTCAGAATTTGTTATTATTTTCTTCGTGTAGAAAAAAGAACAAAATACATAAGGGCATTATTATTATTATATAGACATTACATACAAAAACATTTTATATAAAGATATATATATCTATATATATGAATATCTCAAAAGAATAGGTACTTAGAGCTTCAGAATATGGTATACAATCTCTTCTTCCAATAGTTTATTTGTACAATGTCACCTTTATCTAAATGTAAATAGTAGGATCCCATTAACTCTGAAGTCTCATGTGTCCTTTGGAGCTGGGAGAGATCTAAAGTGAAATTGCTCAAAATGATCATTCGTATTGCTCAAAAAGATGATGAGTAGTATCAAGGTGGCCTTACTGTAGTAGATATGTAGATAAAGGGCTATTTCTCTCCAGCTCCAAACATCTGAACAAAGAATATATGTTTTCAAATTTTAAGCTTTTATAACAGTTCTGTTTCATTAAACTGAATGCATTCCATTCTCTTGTTGCTTTAGGATGCTACTGTATTTTGGAGGGCCAACATTTTTTTTCAAAGTTCATTCAATATCTAGCTTACATAATACTATCAATTATATTTTTTCACATAAGGGTATGTTTTCTTTTATATTACAGTATTTTACATCAAAAAAGGATTCTTTGAGTTTTTTCCATTTTGCATATAATTCCTAAGGTAAAGGCAACCTTGTGAAGAAAAAAACCCACTAAATTTCAGAGCACATTTTAAGCATTCCCTAAATTTAAAGTACTTTTTAATGATTAGGAGAATCAGAACATTACACAACTAGGGAAAATAGTTACTGAAACAGTTTGTTCAAAGTGCTATAATGTTCTCAATCTGTTGTCACAATCAGATAAATGCATCCAAAGAGTAAAGGAAAAAGTTAAATAAAACAGGAAATTTGGTTGATACACTCTGCAAAACACAGAGACCAAGGGCAAACTCAGTATGAATTATTTCAACTGTATCAAGTAATTCCACAGGAATGGTGGAATCCATCAGTTTTCTAACATTAACAAAGATAAAATAATAAGAATTTAGTCTAAATGTTCTGGAAAAATGACCTCAGAGAGGCAACTAAGATGTGGAATCTCTTTCCTTGGGGAATTCATGAGAAAGGATATAAATCTAGCTTTCAGAAAGGGATCAGGTGTATTTCCTATCTTGAATTAGGGGATATATTGGATAAATCCTCTCTGGCACTGTGAATTTCAGAAGTCTCTTTTATAAACCAAAAGTCTTTTAAAGGTTTCTTTCTAAGTTGAGTGTTGGAGTATACATGATGGATGTGTATTCATAGAAGCAATAAGTACACATGGAGGTCTGTGGAATATTGATCGTAAACTTTTATACCAGTGTTCTTTGTACACAAACTCCCATTCTTTCTAAAAGGAAGACAGACACTTTTTGAGTCTTGGATTTCTTAGAGAATATATACATGAAGAACATTTTGCAAATAATTTCAGAAAGTTCATAGAATCTGTGAATCCATTTCCTAGAGTGTAGCTTTCCTGCCTCTGAGCCTCAATTTTTCTGTGATCTGAAGCCCAGTTCCTGGGCTTCCTCAATGCTGCACACTTTCTTGGAATTCTGACTATTATGTGTCCTTTTAGTAGAAGCAGTCTGACATTTCCAACATTTCTTATAACTGACACTTCTTATAATTGTGCTTTTCAAATCTTTTTTTAATTCAAACACCTAGTTTTCCATACTTGGTATCTCCGTTCACCACTCATTATTTAAGTTCAAATGCCAGTCCGCAAACTCTACATAAATTGTCCCATGAGAATAATTCTTCTTTACTTTAGCTAACTACCATTTGCAGTATTATTTGCAATGAAAAATATCCTCCCTGTTTGATTAGAATGATCAGGCTAACGATCACTTAACTCTTGGTTAACAGTTATTGCCTCTGAGCTGACCTGGGGAATCTATAGGCATAGGTTCATTCACTATGTCCTGACTATTTAAATCTCAGCACAGAAGAAGGTCTATAGACTTATAGATGTTCTGATGAAAAAGAGAGAGAGAGAGAGAGAGTGTGTTGACATAGCATCTCTGTCCTTGGATTCTCTGAATCAGGTGGGAATAATTTTTATAATTTATGTGCTGCCCATTTGTTAAATCACCAATTCAATTATGTTACTTACGTATTGAAATGCTCAGAGAAGATTAGGTTGGTGGAGGTACCAGTGATGGTTGTCAGTCCCCCAATGGTAGAAGAGTAAGCAATGCATAAACACATTAGTTTACACATCATGTGGTTCTTCTTTGTTCGATATTTGTTTCCTGTGCCTGAGTTCTGTACAACAACAACAAAATTCCATGAGAACAGCCCTATTTGTGGTCATAACAAACAGTAACAACATTTGTTATGGGCTGAATGTTTTTGCCCCCCATCCCAATTCATATGTTGAATCCCTAACTCCTGATGTGATACTGTTTGGAGATAGGGCATTCAGAAAGCAATTGGGGTTAGACAATGTCATGAGGATAGGGTCCTGGTCTGATGAGATTAATGTCCTTATAAGAGAAGATATCAGAAAGCTTAATGTCTTCTGTCTGCCATGTGAGAAGGTGGCCATCTGCAACCCCAGGAGAGAGCCCTCACTGGATACCAACCTTGCCAGAACTTAATCTAGTCTCCAGAACTATGAGAAATAAATTTTTTTGTTTGTTTAAGTCACCCAGCCTGTGGTATTTTGTTATGGCAACCTGAACTGACTAGTACGGTGCTTATCTTTCCATCAGTAGAAATGTTAACAGTAAGAAGAATTTAAACTGAAACTACTGAGATATTTTACAAATATAATTTCATTCATTCCCTCATCCTTCTTTTCTTGTGTCTGACCCAACTCTTCCCTCAGGTCTTCCCTTCTTACTACTACTCCCAAAGCTTTCCATTATTTTCCTGCTAATATTCGTGGTACATGGTCAGTAAGTTCCTTAACCTCTTTTTGGAGAGTTTTCCCACTTTGGTACCTAATGGATGGTCCCCAGAGGATGCCATTCCTGATGCTTAATGTTTTCAACCCCATATACCTCAGAATTGAGAGGTGAAGTTACTGTCCCTTCCTGCTCTCCATTATCTCTTCTAGAACATGAATCCTCTACTCACTCAAAATAAATCCATTTTTTCTCCAAGTATCATGTAATTTGGGTATGTCTTTCCCTATTCTTTTGACCATGACATTCTGATCCCCTGGTCACCCACTGCTGTCATTTAAGATAACAGTTGCACTTGGCACACGATCATCTTCTGTACTCCAAATCCCATCAGCATCTGGATAACTATACCATGTTCATGAATAATTTTTCAAATATCCTGGCCTCACAGATTTTTTTTTTTATTTCAGAATATTATGGGGTTACAATCATTAAGGTTGCATACATTGCCCTTGTCTCCCCATCCCCCAGACGGTGTGCATCACACTCACTATGTATGTATATGCCCATCCCCTCCCCCCCACCTGCCCCACACCTGACAAATGTTTGTTTTTCTTTTTTTTCTTAACATTTTGATTTTTGACCCATTTCCAAATGCTTTCAACTCTGTTCTACCTCAATCACCCCCTCCCACCGTTACACCTTGGGCAGTGGCACATCCTCAAATGGTACCACCTGCGAAATTGCTATTCCAAATGTGTTTTCTTTAAGAGTAGGACTTCCTAGGGTGCAAGCCAAAAGCAACTTCATTATTTCTCTCACCCATGGCCCATATGAACACACTTTGTTGGTTTGATTCTTGCTATTTCTATAGTGAAATCCAGGGCAGAACCAACAAGTTTTCTGGTCATTTCATTTAATAAATAGATTTTTGGTCACATTTAGTCAAAAGAGGAGCTTCATTTCAGTAGCTGAAATAAACAGTGCCCCATTTAATTTAAAAAGTCCCAACTTTATTGAAAGTTAAACGTTCTTCTCTCCCCAGATCAGGCCTGCCTGAAAGCCCATAGTTGGAAGGAGGTCTGTGAGTTTGGCATTCCCTCTGCACTGTCTGCCCCCAGTTCTAATTCCTCCCACCACTTGCTAGACTCAGTTTCTAAATCCTCCATACTTGGTGTGTCAGGAGAAGGACAGGATCAGGAGAGGAGTGGTAAGGATTAGGAGAGGTCTTATTTAAGTGGCATATGAATTAAGATATGACATTAGTACTCTCCAGGCTTGGTGGGTATTCAAAATGACTACATCTGGGGGTACTTGTATGGGTTTTTAAGAGGCTCTTATTACTCAGATAAGAACATCAGACTGTTGCTCCTTCTGTGTGGGTAATGTATCTCTTCCACCTGGTTGCTCATGATACACTGAGATTTCTGTGTATGATAGTCTCATCTGGCCTCTTTCTGCTGAGGTCAACTTACCCTGTATAAAAGCTGTCTTGGAGGAAGTTGCCTTTCAAATTATCCCCAAAACCACTCTCCTCACATGTTCTCTACCTCTGGTCCCAGGGAAACAGGTACCTCTACCCTGTTGTCAGTGAAAGTGAAGCTGAAACTGCATGAATAAGGAGAATCAGCTATGACTTTTCACTTTCTAATTTTTCAAGTGTGTCAAACACTAATCTATTGACCTCTTCTAAACCTAGGAAGCAGATATCAGGTTCTCCAAGTGGTGGTTTCTCAATATCTATCTTACCATGGTAAGTAGGAGATTCTCCTCTTCCTTCTTTGTGGAGGCCAAAGTGACTCCATCTTAGATGCTAATTTACCATGTTGACTTCTGATTAACTCCAGTTCTAGGAATACCTTTAAGATTTCTACTTTATCTACTATTCTTTGTGTAAGAGCAGGTACTTAAAATAAATCCTGCCCTTAGATCAAAACGACCTTGACGTTATCACACAAATTACAATCTATGAGATAACATAGCATTCTTGCCTTTTCCTGGAAGGGTTGATTTTAACTGTCCCTCTGAAAGACATATACCCTTTTGTTATAGTACACAAGCCCTGGGGCTGAGAGGTAACACTGCAGAGATCTATCTGTCTTGCTGCATCCCAAGACCATGCTTCCCTTTGTAAGTTTGCCAATAAACTGCCTTTTACCAACAAAGTAGAGTTGTCTGCCTCATTCTTTGGTTTCTTGGCTAGCCTTCTGCTTTTGGGGATTGTTTTGCATATATTGCCCTTTCATGAAACACTCCTTTGTGGTGGTACAGGTGTGTGCGTGGGGTAGGGGGTGGGGAAATACTCCAACTTTCTCCATAAGTAGACTGTCCTGCAGCCTTCTCATTGTTAACACTAAGTTTAAGCATCTAAAATTGTTTTTTGGTCACCTTACTTGCAAGTCCTGTGTAAGTGGAATGTGGGAATACCTGTGATATATACTTGATATTATAGTTAATTAGGGCTATAAAGAGTTCATTTTACCATCCTACACACCAAGAAATTGGCACACTTGCCACAGTTTCTTCTTTCAACTTTCCTGTTGAGTTATTTCTATCCCTACTGTTAAAGTCCATTGGCAAGTCTAGGTCACTTATTCCCAATGGATTTGTCCTCTCCTTTCTTCATTTCCTTCCTTCCTTTTTCAGTTTAGATTCCACAGTAAACCATTTTACTAATTTTCTTAACAAAACTCTAAACTCTTTTTCTTTCTTTCAGCAGTAGTTATTTGTCAAAATTTCAACTGTTGAAAAACCCAGCAATTCACTCTCTCCATGTCATGTCTGCTCCTGAGCAGCCAACCACTGTTGGTAAGAATTAGACACACAGTAGAGTACTTTGAATCCCCTACATTCATGATCATGAATGTCATCTGCTGTGTCATGCTGCTCCTCTGCCCTACTGTGTTTCTGTGACCAAATTACTCTGTCTCCACAAGAAAATGTAAAACCTTTTAATCTCTTTACACCTCCCTCTTAATGCTCCTTCTCACTCTTTGTAGGTAGCTTTAACTCCTGCCAGAAGACACTGAAGTGTAGAAACCTTCTGGCCTCTGCCCCACCTTCTCTTTCCCTACATACATAATAGCACCAATCTCTCTTCTCCAACTTCTTGTTTCTGGACCCCAATCTCCCATGCCTTCTCAGAAACCTTCCACTACGGAATATTAGACTTGTCATCAATATTTAAACATTTTCAAGTCATCTTTACATATGAAAAAAAGAAGTCTTTCTTAACCCTCCTCTCAATTGAACAACCGGCCACCTCATCTCCATTTTCACAGCCAAACCACCCAGAAAAGTTATCTACCTTCAATGACTCCATTTCCTTAACCACTTCAACCTGGCTTCTGTCTCCTCATCTCATTCCACCCAAAATGCACTCCGTATGGTTATCAATAAGCTTCACACAGCTAAATCCAATAGTCACTTTGCAGTCTCGACTTCGTAGACCTCTCAGCACCACCTAAAAGAGTTAATCACTTTTTCCTACTGAACAAAACTCTGCCTTGAGCTTCTGTGATATCTCACTCTTCTGGACTTTCTTCTATATCTCCAAGTATTCCTGTTTCCCTTGCCAGTCTTTATGCCTTTATCCTTCCTTAACACTGGAATTTTTTGGAAACTCTGCCAGAAGGCCTTGTCTCTCCCCACTCCAATGTTTCTCCTTGGAAAAATCTCATATTTTCATTGATTTAATGAATATTTTCATATGTTAAATCACCAGACTTCTTTCTTCAGCCCAAACTCTTCCTTTTAGACCTCTATATCTAGTTGCTGATTTGAATGTCTTAAATAAAACCCTAGTCTAAAAATGTTCAAAACCAAACTCATGACTTCCTTTCTCAAAACTATTTCTTCAGGATCACCTGCATAATTTAGTGGCATCACTATCACCATAATAACAAACACTCATAGTGTGCTTAGTAGGCAATAAGCACTGATCTAAGTTAAAATCTGATGTATGTTTTAATTCATTTAAATCTTACTATATAAAGAAGTAGATACTATTTTAATGATGTTTTACAGATGAATGACATGAGACAGAGAGAAGTTAAGTAAATTGTCCAAGGTCAATGGGGTCTACAAATGGCAGACTTGGGTTTTGCAACCATGCAGTCCTGCTTTGGAGCTCATACTCTCAGCCACTGTGCTATATTGCTCATCCTCCTTGGAAACATTCTCTTCCTCATCCCACCACACTCTGTCAATTTTATCTACTTAAATGTGTCTGGACTTTGTTTTCTCTATCCCCACTGTTGTCACCTTGGTCTAAGTCAACATTACCTCTCCTAGGTTAGTGAAATAACATCTTTATGAACCTTCTTGCATCAATTCTTACCTATTTCAGACCAGTTATCTGCACAACAGTCTTTAAACAAAAAATCCAAATGTATTAATATGAACCTTTGTTATCTT